TAAACACTTGGTGTCTATTAAGATATCCTCGAACTACCATTACCATCAGCCGATGATGGTTATGGATGATTGAGTGTGTAGCCCTACAATGTCTGCATAGCCAGAGGTTTTCTCTCTCCTGGTGTTTTATTATGTATTTATTACATTATTACTTTATGTCCTACATCTCTCCCAAAAGGGATTCAAAGCAGCTTACAGCACAAATTACAACAGCAGTCAAAACAATATGTGGTACAAAAATTTAAAAAGCATTACTTAGTACAATTAAGCTTAAATACTGTTTTAGTATAGTATTCATACTAATGCTAATAAAGCTTCCCAAAAAAAGCTGACCAACAAGACTCTGCAAGAGCAAATTGGGGGTGGTGGTCACTGTTATTATCCTAATTTAGTTACCTGTCTCTGGCAGTAATATGCACAATGCTTTGCTAAAGCCAGGTTGCAAAACAAACAAGTCTCTGATAAACAGTGATAGCAACAGTCTGTTTGCACTCCTGTTGGATTGGATCATGCAGTCCATTCAAAGATTAAACTTCCCCCATAAGATCAAACTCTCCCAAACAGGAATAGCACAATTTTCTAAAGTAGACATTCTTACCTGTGGAAATGGCAACTTCCAAGTCCAGCCACAGATTCACACTCTTAGTGAGGCTTCCACAACCTTCAGTTGCTTTTAAATCACTCCAGTGTTACTTTTGGTCATGTGTTTAGGACTGCTGTCCTATTTGAAGATGAACCCTGGCCCACTTTCAAGTCCTTTGGTGTCTACCTCTACAATTTATTTAGCTCTACACATTTTGCCCTTGTCACTTTCCTGTTTCCTGTAAAGCAGTGTTTCCCAACCTTCCTAATGCTGCAACCCCTTATTACAGTTCTTCATGTTGTGGTGACCCCCCAACCATAAAAATATTTTTGTTGCTACTTCTTAATTGTAATTTTGCTACTGTTATGTAAATATCTGACTTGCAGGATGTATTTTCATTCACTGGACCAAATTTGGCACAGATACATAATGTGCCGAAATTTGAATACTGGTGGGGTTGGGGGTGTGTGTGATTTTGTCATTTGGAAGTTGTAGTGGCTGGGATTTATAGTTAACCTACAATCAAAGAGCATTCTGAACTCCACCAACGATGGAATTGAACCAAACTTGGCACACAGAACTCCCATGGCCAACAGAAAATACTGGAAGGGTTTCGTGGGCACTGACCTTGAGTTTTGGAGTTGTAGTTTACTTACATCTAGAGAGCACTGTGGAGTCACACAATGAGTCCCCCTAGGGGTGAGAAAAGCAGTATATAAATACTGTAAATAAATTATGGATCTGGACCAAACTTGGCACAAATGCTCAATAAGCTCAAATCTGGACACTGGTGGAGTTTGGGGAAAATTGACTTTGACATTTGAGAATTGTAGTTGCTGGGATTTATAGTTTAACTACAATAAAATAACATTCTGAACCCCACCAACAATAGAATTGGGCCAAACTTCCCACACAGAGCCCCCATGACCAACAGAAAATAGTGTTTTCTATGTTCTTTGGTGACCCCTCTGACACCCCCTCACAACCTCCCCCCAGGGGTCCTGACCCCCAGGTCGAGAAACACTGATGTAAAGGGAAATATCCTCACAATACAATGCTGCCACCACTATGATTCACCATGGGATGGTGTTCTCAATACAACGATCTCTGTTGACTCTGCCATCTATATGACTTAGGTACAGTTTATCTAAAGGGGAGTATCTTCTCATATCAGCCTGCCCAAATGCTAAGATCTTCAGGAGACACTTTGTTGATCCCACCACCTTCACAGGCAGGGGAAGTTCTGTCAAAGGATAGGTGATTGCTCGTGGCCAAGTATGATTGTTTTCCAAGGGTACAGTCTTGGTGTTCATGCCACATTTTTAACGTTAGCTTTAAGTCCATCTTTAAATTTCTTTTGTTGTCCAACAACATTGCATTTTTGGTTCTTAAGTTGAGAATAGAGTAACTGCTTTGGAAGACAGTGGTTGGGCATTTAGACAATGTGGCAGTCTTTGCTTCTTCCAGAATCGTGGCACTTGTCCACCTGTCTTTCCAAGAGATTTGCAGGATTTTTCAGAGGCAATGCTGATGGATCTTTCCAGAAGTTGAGAGTGACGTTTATAAATGGTTCATGTTTTGCAGGTGTACAGTAGTTGGAAAGACAATAGCTTTATGAACAAACATTTTGGTATCCCTCTGAATGTCCTGATCCTCAAACACAACTGCTGCACTCGCAGAGCTCAGATGGTGTTGTATTTCAGCCTCAATGTCAACTTTTGTGAAGAGGTGGCTGTCTAGATAGCAGAAATTGTCAACTTTTCCTAGCATGACACCATCAAGTTCTCTGGAACATTTCAGTAATTGTGGGATAATTTCTCACATTTCTGCTGTGGATCTATCATTTCCTTCAAAATCACAATTGGCCTCTTGGCTGCTTATCTGACCAATATCCTCTTTACAAGATTGATGGGTTTTTGTGGAGTCTTCTCTTCTCTTCCATTTGAGTCATACTCTCGATTTTGCAATAATACATTTAATGGTGGTCCAGGGGATTTCATAGTTTGGGATTTTATTTTACTTTATAACTGGTGTTTTTGAGCATCTTCTTTTGATAGCTCCTTGGTCTTTGTGGAGCTATTTATTTGAGAAACCCTATAGTTTATGAGCCCTTCCAGAAACACATACATTTAATCTGTGGCATTGAAACTGAGCTTATGTGGCACTGAAGTTACACATAGGTGTATGCCATTCAATTCCTTATGTGACTTCTGGAGACAGTGGATTGCAACAGAGCTTCTTTAAGCATGTCACAGTAAAAGGGGTGAATACTTATGCAACCAACAAGTTTATTGTTGATTAACTTTTGTGCCATAACAAAACTATTTTGCACCTTCACCTTGTCAGGTATCTGCCATACATCAAGTGATAACATTGCCAGTGAAATCTATTTCAGTTCCAGGTTGCAACATAACAAAATGTGGAAAAGTAAAAAAGAGGGTTAATACTTTCGGAGGGCAACTAGATAGTTTATGTTAACTAGACAGAAGATTCCAACTGCAGCATATCTTTCTTATCAAGTCTTGTGACAGTCATATGAGTTAATTAAATCGAAAAGACAACGTGTAGATTTGTTCCAATATTCAGGTGGCACTAAAACATTATTGCCTAAGATACATTATAGTCATAATAAATCTTGTTAATTGGCATTCATGCCCACAAAGCATACCAATATCTCTTATACAGTTTTCCTTCCAGTGTACTTGTATGCTCAACGTCCTCAGTCATGCTGGAAAACCTAGGGCCCTTCCACACAGCCATACAACCCAGAATATCACAGCAGAAAGTTCCACAATATATGTTTTGAACTGGGTTATCTGAGTCCACACTGCCATATATTCCAGTTCAAAACAGATAATGCAGAATTTTATTTAGCTGTGTGGAAGAGGCCCTAGAGCAGGGGTCTTCAAACTAAGGCTCGGGGGCTGGATACGGCCCCCCCAGGTCATTTACCTGGCCCTCGCTCAGTGTCAACCTAAGTCTGAAAGGACTTGAAAGCACACAACAACAACAACAACCCTATGTCATCAGCCAAAAGCAGGCCCACACTTCCCACTGAAATACTAATAAATTTACATTTCTTAAAATTGTCTTCATTTTAATCATTGTACTGTTTTAAAGTGTTTTAAAGTGTTTTTGCACTACAAATAAGATATGTGCACTGTGCATAGGAATTCATTCATGTTTTTTTTTCAAATTATAAGCCGGCCCTCCAACAGTTTGAAGGACTGTGACCTGGCCCTCTTTTTAATAAGTTTGAGGACCCTTGCCCTAGAAATCCCTAAAAAGAATAAACACCCCCCCCCCCCCCGGAATTTCTAGGTACTCAAGTGCAATTCCATGGTCATTTCCCTCTGAAAATAACCATAGAGATAACCTAAAATTCCTGAAAGTGTTCTCTTAAGATAAAAATATAGCAATTTCTTTGTTCATGGCTTTTCACTTTCACGGGAGTCTATATCTTGTTGTATTTTGCTACATGGCCAACACAACTACCCTAAATATGTTTTGTGTAAATACATGGTGTTTCTTTTATTTCTATATTTGATTTTTTTGGGTCAGAGACCTTGTACTTGTCATGGGTGCATGGCAAGCAGAATTGGGATAGGTACTGGTATATAGATAAAAGTTTGGCTCCTGTTTGGATTACTGAAGTGATTTACAAGTGGGACTGGTTTGGCATCAGTCCAGAATGGCACCTTGGTCACTTAGTGTAAAGATGCAGTCTATATTAACTATTAACAGCACCAGGTTGGATTGTCCCAATAATCATTCTATTCTACATATGCCTATCCAGATTTTTTTTTTTAGATTCTTCTCTGGATGCCCCCAATGATATGCAGCAAGGGGTAAGTAGACCGAAGGCATTTCTACTTGTGGATCTTTAGAAAGGATTGCCTAATATCTCCAAAATGAGCTATAGTCTGTCTTCTATATGGTTAATGATAAATCCTAGTTTACCCACAGCTTCCTAATTTGGACGAGAGAATAAGAGCAAACAAGGAAATAAGCATACAAATTGGATCATGGAGAGGAGGAAGAAGGGAGGTGGACCAATGAGCCCGAAGCCTGCTCATGTAATGCTAACCATAGCTTGGTATTACGTCTGAATGAAATTATAAGGACAAGAAAAATGTATCTAATCTATTTCTGCTTACCACTAAGCCATTAAAAGTAAATAAGCCAGAAAAATCTGCTGTCTTACAGATTAACTCAAATTTTAGTATCAAACAAAAATATTTTGCTTTCAGCTGAATTCAACCTTTTGCTAACAGCTGTTGATTTATTTCTTACAGAGGATGTTAATAAATGTTATTCTATATTATATCACTTCCAGAAGTCAGAAAAATGGGAATACAGTCTGAATCACAATGGTTTGAAACTTATTAAATAAAATGAACTAAAATAAACACCAACCTGAGTGTGTATAAATATACATGTTTTATTAGCATTGTTTAGACATGTGGACTTATGTATGAATTCATAAAAGTCATCCTAAAATAGTCTTGAATATTGTGTTGCAGTGACCACATTAAAAGAAAGGGAGTCAAAATATTGGCTTGAAATAGAATTGCTGAATTAAAAAGTTTTCAAAACATGATTATGATACTTTATTTTCTCTGGGAATAGTTCTCTAGGATGCTTTTTTCTGTTTTGCTTTCTTCAACCATTGAGGTGGACCTTCATTTGTCTAGAAAGCAAGCAAGAAAAAAAGACAGAAAATAGAATGTTATAAATAAAATAGCAGGCAGCTGAGGTAGTATAGAAGTTGCCCAACAGTTCTTCTGCAATTACCATTTTGACAAGTGACAACTTGACAATTATATTGATAAATATAATTAACATGTATCTGACGAAGAAACCAGTTTAGCATGTTTTCCCAATCACCTTTGCTATCCCTTTTGAGAGATATATTTCTTATGGTTGTATTGGTTGTTGCAAAACTGTTTCCCAGGATAGGTGATTTATTTTGGTCACACCCAAAGCTAGCTAAGTTATTTGCAAATTACTTACAGCAAGATTTTTTTCTATTCACAATCACATGAAAATGACTAAATTGTGTCTCTTCTGTGTGAATCACAGAGACCTCAATCGTGGGGGTTTTTTTTGGGGGGGGGGGGAAGAGAAAAATGGCAATCCTGGGAGTGTAGAGGCTCTTGAGCCTCTAGATCAGTGGTTCTCAACCTGTAGGTCCCCAGATGTGTTGGTCTTCAACTCCCAGAAATCCTAACAGCTGATAAACACCTGGGGATCCATGGGTTGAGAACCACTGTTCTAAAGTCTCAGAAACAGCTGTGAGGAAGGTTACAGGCTACTTTGGGTTGCACTTTGTGCAACCCTGCTCTAAAATATCACACTGCTGAAAAACAATTCTTTTAACAAGAATAATCCAATTCTAAGTTTCAGCTTTCCTAACTCAAAATATTTTTATGCTACCTTTTGGGCTGCTTCTGAGACAGAACTGACTGCCACTTCTCCTACTGCTACCCTGCTTCCTGGACTCAGGTGGCCCAGATACACAAGGTGGCAGTCTCCTTCCCCACCATCCTAAGTGGTACAGTAGTCGGTTTGCTTTTGTGTGCAGTCACCCAGTCAGGACAATGGGGCACTCTGGAAAGGGAGGAAATAGAGGAGAGGAACAGTATTCTCTTTCTCCTCCCTTGCTGCCTCATTGCCCTGGCTGACATCACTGCATGTGACAGTGGACAGGTAGGGCCTGTGTCATGGCTGGAGTGAGATGGAGAGGGGGGGAAACAGGAAGTGTGGCTACCCAGTGGCACTGGGGGGGGGGGAGCGGCAGCACACTCCCTCCAGTCTCTGCAGTGGCTGGGGGTGTCCGTGTGGCCGATAGCCAGAGCCCATCTGACATAGAACATGACAGATAGGCCCCATATATATGTCAGTGTAGATCTGGCCCTTAGTAAGTCACATGGCTGAGTGGGGTTTAAATCCATATCTCCCCAGTCCTGCCATGTATTCACTCTACAAGCTTGTTCTGATTGATAAAAGTCACAGATCTTCAAAGTAATTGTACTTACAAACAATGTTGGTTTGGGCGCAAACACATCTCCTTCCTCATGCTCTAAAGGTAAACGGGCAGATGGACTCGACATAGATTTTGAAGGCAGATTTTTATTCTGTTTTTGAGGCAGACTATCTCCTTGGGGTTTACCATGAAGACTTATCAACATCTGTTTCATCACAGCAAGTTCCTTTAAAAATATACATACACCAAACTGTAAGACTCAACTGCTTGTTATAGAGCAAGCATTTTCTGTTCACAAAAACCAACCAATAAATGAAATGAGTACTGTATAGAAAGATTTACAGGCCACTCTTAAGCATCTTCCTAGCTGCTTTGCTCTTAAACTACCATCTATTTTAAAACAATTCTTTTTTAAAGGTGTGTTCTGAGAAAGAAGAACAGCTTGCTTAATCTAATTTACATGCTGAGAAATAATATTCAGATGGTCGAGATAGGGAAGTAACTATGCTTTTAAATCTATGTCTATTTGTCTTAAAAATCAAATAGTTATTATTCTCATAAAAAGGTGGCATCCAGTAAAAAAAAGGAAAGGTACTCCAAACATTGCAGTAAAAATGCAAGAGATGCTAAGAAAAGTGTATTTTCCTATTAAACAAAAAGATTGCTTTTTGAAAAAACTGTACAGGCAAGATGAATAGAACATTAAAGGTGATAGACCAGAGCAGATATTAGATATACTGTCAAGTTATCAGAAAGAAACATTCATGGCCTTTTAACAATACTATTCACAGAAAAGGTGATGTGCACGATCAAATATGGCATCACACTAAAAAAAATTTTTCACATACCAGAGACAGCCACAAATTTAGTGCACAGCACATGTCCCGCTCTTAGCCGCACGAGAAGCATAACATACATTCACCTAATAATTCAGTCTGGTAGTGTTATACTGATAATGGTTACCCAGCAAATTTCACAGAGAAGTAGATCTGAACTTGTTTCTTCACCACGCTATGTTATTTATAGTATTTGTATCTTGCTTTCTTTGTCAAGAAAACTCAAAGCAGCTCTTTAATGACTTTGATAATCTAATGACCACATTGCACTGGTTCTCAATGATAGGTTTCTAAATGTGTGCTGAGTAGCCTGTTGAAGTGACCATCGAAGGTTTTCTCTTATGTAATCTTGTCACATTGCTATGTTTTCCTACTTCCCTTAGGATTCTTTCATAGTTCACTGTAAAAACTATATTGTCTTTAGAATGTTATGGGCTCCTCCACTTAACAATGTACAGGGTTACAAACAAGATAGGTTTTGTAGGATTATTCTTCAGTTGAATTTGTATGTAAATCTGAACAGATACATTTTTCAAGTACATCTTAGATAGCATAGAGAAGAGTTAACACCTCTGTTACATTTGCTTTGTTGTCTACAGCCCTACCTGAAGATTTCACCACACTTTCTGTCACTATGACAATTGGATTTTGAAAATTTCTGGTTCTTGAGGAAACAAGGATTGGTGATAAAGCTTCAAGAGATAACTTTTCCCCATGATAACTCCTACAAGGGTGAATTTCCCTTCCTAGGAGTAGATTTCTTCTCACTTCCTGTTGCCTCATTCCCGTTTGTAACTAGGATGTAAGTCGGATATTGGTATCTTGGGGACTGCCTATAATTATCAAACTGCTGGAACTCATGGTGTGCTGTTAAAAATGATTCAAATGTCAAACTCATCTCTTCTGTAAAAGAAATGTCAGTGTAACCGAAGAAATAAATTAAGGATTTTTAAACATTATAAACTGGGAAGAGATAATATTAGAAATGTATTCAGAAGGAAAAAATGAGAAGCAGACTGCAATGATATTTTTGGATAAAGAAAAGACTTTTGACAATTTACGCTGCACAATTGTTTTTAGAGTACTCGAGAAGCTATATTAGGCATGGGCAAACTTACAGGTATTTTGGACTTCAACTCCCATAATCCCTTATAGTTGGCTGGGATTTCTGAGAGTTTAAGTCCAAAGCATCTGGAGGGCCAAAGTTTGCCTGTGCCTGAGCTAAATGATATGGGCTAGATCAATTTACACTTTATAGCACAAATTATAATAAATGCAGAGTTGTCTAGCCCACGTGAGCTACACAGAGGAATTAGACCAGGATGCCCATTGTTCCCCATTATTGTTTATTTTAGCATTTGATGTTCTGAATAGAGATATTAAACAAGATGAGAAGATTTACAGACATTAGGATTAAGAAAGAATACTATATACTGAGGGCATTTGTGGATACCTTGTTGATTATCTTCATAAATCATCTAATGAGTGCTAAAAGACTGGTCATTATTAGAATTATGCTTCTTTCTTTCGTTAATTTATATACTGCCTTTTGCCCATGGCAGCTTCCAGAAATAGGTAATTAGTATACATTCACAGATGAAATGGGACTTACAATCAAGGTAGAGAGAGGAAGGACCTAAGAGTAAAATTACACATGCAGAAGAGATTATTGGATTATTATTTTTTTCTATTTCGTAAGTGGTAATGCTTACTATATATTTAAGCATTTTAAGGCAGTGTTATGCATTTCAGTAGTTTGTAGTAGGCTTATGTTGAGGGTTGCATTTCATTTTATGTATATAGAATTTTACTCAACAAAAAAAGAATTAATATTTTTTCATAAGCATAAGGCATTTCCTGGCAGATAAGGATGCTTGTTGTATCTCTGGGTGTTTTGGTGCTTCTGGCCATGTCTTTTCTTAACCTGTTTCAAATTGAAATAGGCAAAGCTGCTGCGTTTTCATTAAGTATGAGTGGATGCATTAATCATCTTCCATGAAAGTTATGGCAGATTTCACCACCCTAATGAGGTGGCTTTCCTTTGTATTTATTCTTTATATACTTGGTTTGGATAGAAATATATATTCAATATGTTTGCTTTATTGTAAGCAGATCATGCGAAGATTTTCTTAATCAAAATATGAATACTTTTAGGTGTGAGAATAAAGTATATGTCCAATTTCAGTTTTGGAAAAAAAGATATTTTCCCTTTTCAAACCTTGGAAAAAACAGATTATCATAATCACCAAAACATACAGGTGTCACTTTGGCGCTCCATCTGCTCCATCTTATCTCAAAAGAAAATGTTTGTTCATTTGCTAAGGCCTGCTTTATGCAGAAGTTGCATAAAGCAGGTCTTAGCAAAAAACGCAAAATCTCAATTTGTAAAGGAAATCCAGTTGTCTAAGCTTGCTTAATTTAATTTGCCCAGGGTTAATGCTTAAAATGAATCAGAAGATGACAAACATGAAGATCTCTACAGCTGCAGAACAAGAATGCAGATTAACAATAGATTTCTTAATTTTAAGCTGGACTGTACACTGAGGCACTGTTTTGGTTACAATAATGAACATATGCTTTGAAGGATGAAAGCATGCCATTCCTCATACATTACTGCTTATAAGCAGTTCTATAATACCATAGGATGTAAATTCTTTTTGCTCAAAAGGTAAAAATAGGCAGCCTTTGTTGTTGCGATGATTACATCTAGTAAATTAATGCTCAATATTTCAGTTATGAGCTCTTTGTGCTGCCATCTCAAACCTTAAAGCACACCAAAACCACTTCAGCCACTGGGTGCATTCTTCTTATTGCTCCGTCATTTAATATTGTAGCTATTTGCATAATTCAGCCATGGGCAGTGGCATGTCAAAACAGCTCAACGGCAGAACAGCTGTTTCAAAGGACTGCATAACTGATACCAACATGTTGCTGAAAGTTGTAAACTCTGCAAAGATGTTGCCAAGGCAATGCATAGACAAAATGTCTTGATGAAAATAACTTGGGACAATTATGTTACAGGCACATGCTTCACCTTTAACGGGCCAGGCTTGCATACCTACTGCTTGGAAGCTGTAGAAATCAGAAGATTTTCCAAGTATGTTCAGGATTGGAATATAAACAATACTTTTATTTGGCAACTACTGCGAGAGAATACAACTTGGCAGCATCTTATATCAACCAAAAAGATGTTGACATTATACTCTAAAAAGACAATTGTAAGAAATTCTCAGGCTGATAAGAGCTTAAGTTTCAGGGAAGACAAAGCAATCTTTTAGCAGTTATTTGGCTATCATATCTCCTGGAGAGAGGCCAACTGACAGGCAGCACAAAGAGCGAATTGCTTATCAGAAAATCACCTTAAGCCTTCTACCTTTTTGTAGGCCAGCATAAGTCTTAACTTCGACTATCAGAAAAATGAGTAAACTACACTAAAGAAAATAGCAGAAAATCCCATGTGTTTATTTTCAAAAGTGTACTTTTAGAAAAACACTAAAGATTATGACTGAGTGCTCCACAACCTATGCAGGGCCCTCTAGATATTTTGAACCATGTTTTCCATAATCTCTGACCTGTTAAGGTCCAAGGAAGCATGTAGTTTAAACTAGCTAGAGTGTGCCAGACTGTTGTAACTTATTCTTATGTAACTTCTAAAAGTGGCTCCTACCTCGACCATGTCTAGGTGTCTTCCTGCTTCTCACCAAATGTGCGGAACACAACCTTGTCATCACCAACACACTCTTCCGCCAGAAAAACAAGTTCAAGACATCATGGAAGCACCCCCGGTCAAAGCATTAGCACCTCTTAGACTATGTAATCACATGTGCCAGAGACCGCCGTGACGTGCTCCTCACAAGAGCCATGACAGGTGCTGACGACTGCTGGACTGACCACAGCCTTATCCGATCCTCGATGGCTATTAAGATCGCCCCCAAGAGCAGACTCCAAGGAAGAAAGACAAGGCGCAAAATGAACACCCAAGCCCTTCAGGAGCCCTCCAAACAGCACTCAAGAAACATCTACCCACAGAACACCGCGAAAGTGTTGAGGAACACTGGAAGAATCTGAAGACCTCCATCATCACAGCCTGCGAAGAAACTATTGGATATTAAACCAAGAAACATCAAGATTGGTTCGACAAAAATGACATAGAGATCCAACAGCTAATTGACAAGAAAAGGAAAGCCTTCCAAACATGGCAGAGAGACATCAACTGTGCTGCTAAGAAAAAGATCTACGCCAGCGCAAAAGCTGAGGTCCAAAGAAGGACAAGAGAACTCAAGAACATCTGGTAGACAAAGAAGGCTAAAGAAATCCAACACCTGGCAGATACCCATGATGCTCAGGGATTTTTCAAAGCCACAAAGGTCATCTATGGACCAAGAAACCA